CCCGGGCTCCGCTGCCCCCTCCGGCCGCTTCAGGCCACCCCGAACGTGGCCCGCCTGCTAAGGAGGGGCGGGGGAGGGGAGCAGGGGGAGAGGGAGGGCGCGCTGCTCTGAGGTTTAATCAGTAGCATCCAGCTTAAATTCTCCCCCAAACGGCGGTTCCATAAATCAAACTTCTTTTTAAATCAGAGGCCAGAGCATATGCGTCCCATTAGGAATCGGGGGAAGCCACGGTTTCGCGGACGCGCCCCCTCCCCCCAGCCCCGGACCGGGCCCTGCTCGGAGCTTCCCGGAGCTCGAAACCACCAGAGTGCGCTCCCAGGCCTGGCCGCCGGGGCGCACGCACCCTCCCGGCTCCCAGGTGAGCAGTCCCAGGCCGGGGATGGGATGATGGGATGGAGGCAAAGCCTCCCGTGGCCTCGGGGTACAGCCGGACCCTGGGGACGGGGTGCAGCATGCACGTGGGGCGGGTGCGCGGTGCGTGCGCAGTGATGCCCGCTCGAGGTAGGATGGGGAGTGAGCAGGTCTCCGCTGGCCCAAGAGGCCGGGACCCCCACCACCCGCCCTGCTGCCCCGGGACAGCTCACCCTCGCAGGGGTCCCCCAGGGGGTGTGGCCAGCCCAGGACACCCCACGCCCCCAGGACACCCAGCACCCCGCCCCCGCGGCCCCATTGCTGCTCCCTGCCCGCCCTGCTCCCCGGCCGCCCGCAGCACTCACAGGTAGCTGCCGCTGGACAGGAGGAGGAAGATCTGCGGGCAATAGACGGAGAGGAGGGCGCGGCGCGCCGACAACAGGCGCATGGTGGTGCGTGCACGCCCCCCCGCAGGGCTCCTGTGCCCAGCCGAGGCCGGGGCGGCCCCCGCCCGTCCCGGTGCGGGGCAGCGACTCTGGGCACTAGGGGCCAGGGTTGGCCGGCTGGGGGCCGGCGGTCGCCCGTGTCCCGCCGCCAGGGCCGCACATCATGCTGGATCTGGGGCCGGCGCGGTGGGTGCTGAGGCAGAGAGGCAGGGGCCGGCCCGATGGGGCCGTGGGGGCGTCCTGGCGGTTGTCTGCACCCCTCGGTCCTCTGTCCGTCTGTAAGAGCCGGCTGGTTCGCTAGCTCCAACTCACGTCTCCCAGTCTCCCGAGGCCTGCTGCTGCCATTGGCCGGCTGCCCCTACATCCGCCTCCTCGGGCGGGCGGGTTTTTTTAAAGGGGAGGCTGACCGGAGGCGCGGAGGGAGCCGCCCCCAGGGGTTGCCCCCGTCGCCCTGGCGGGGATGTCCTGGTCCCCACCAGCCGGGCTCCCGAGAGCCCCCTGGGGGAAGGAACCGGGCCCAGGCCTGTGCTTCCCTCCGGGGCCGACTGTGCTCAGCAAACATGTGCTGCTGTGAGCACGCATGTACCTGCCTGCGCACGGCGCCTGCGGCAGCCGGGCCGCCGCGAGGGTGCAGGTGTGTGTCCACGCGGGAAATCTGTGTGGCGTCTCTGTCGGCTCGGTGTGGTGTGCTTAGGAGGGACTGCCCCCCAGCCCTGCCTGTCCTAGCCGGGCGTCCACACCAGGAGTGTGTCTGGCAAGACTTTGCCGGTGCCATTTTTCCTCACCCCGGGATCCCAGGGCCTCCCCCAGCTCCCCGGGGAGTCGCCTGGGAGGGGGGGAGGGGGATCCACGGGACTGGCTCCTCTCCACAAGCCTCTTACTAAGGAGTTTTTGGTAACCTAGAAACACACATTTAAGGTCCTATCTCCTGGTGTGCCACGCTTTGCCACCTCCAATGGCCCAGGAGAGCCGGAGACCCCGTCCACCAAGCAGGGGATGCATGAAAGGAGCCAGGAAGGCCCGGCGGTCCTGGGGAGTGGGTTCTGGGGCTCCCTGGCCCGGCCCCTCACCCCCAGCATCCAGCAAGAATGCCACCTTCCTCCCTTCCCTGGGCAGGTCCGTGAGCCTCCGCTTCCTTCTCCTGGCCACAAAGGCAGGGGCTGGCCAGCGCGGTCCACTGGGCCCAGACCAGCCAGACAGGCTGCTGCCTGCTCTGCTTTGGTCTCCTCCAGGACTGAAGCTTGAAAACTGCTCCACTTACAAAGGACCCGGGGTGACTGTCTCCCCGGAGCCATCATAGCCATTAGGCTTTGAAATTGCTCAAGGCACGTCTGTTCCGGGGACTGGGCCGGCCGCATTCTGCCTCCTGTGCGTACGTGCGCTGCACGGCTGAGGGGCATAAGTATTTGGTGAGCTCACGGGAGGGGTGGAAGGAGGCTCTCAGGCAGGGGCAAGAACGCTCAGCCTGCAGGTGAGCTGGGGAGGAGGGGAATCCCGGGTCTCATTTGCAGTTGGAACTTCGTTGAGATTCAGAGGTCCTGGGGTTCTCTGCCTGGAGGAGCCCCCAGGGTCCGGGCTGCACCTTTGACCTCGTGGTGTTTACTGGGACACATTCTCATCACCGCCTGGGCAAAGGCTCCAGGATGAGGGCCCCGGAAGCCCTGAGGGAGTGGCTGCTACCACCTGGCTTTCTTCCAGTGAGGGAAGGGAAGCTGTGGGGGTACGGAGCTCACCCCGGCCCCTGCCAGGAGTGATGGACAGGGAAGCTGTTGGTCCAGATCCCACCAGACCCCCTTGATCCATGGGTACCTAAGCTTTAGGTTACCCGGGACCCAGCAGCCCCTCCTAAGTCTCCGGCACAGCAGAGAGCTTGCAAAGAAAGCACGGCAGAGCCTGGCTCACCCAACCCGTGCTCACCCCGCCTCCGCCCGCCTTTCTCCTGTGCACTCCAGAATGGGCCTTGGTTTTCCCTGGTGGTCGTGTGGCAGGGTCTTCGGGGCTCTCTTTGGAAACTCAAGAGTCGGGGGGGGGGGGTGTTTGCTGGGCTCACCAGGGGAGGAATGCCCCCCCCTCCTGGCGGAAGCAGGGCCACCCTGAGGGAGCTCAGCCTCCCTCTCTCAGACCTTCATGCATGCCTGGGAAGCCAGCACAGGGGTCTTCCCCACCCACCGTCCTCCATGCTGTTCAGAAGGGCCTGAGGTGCAGTCCAGGGGCAGACAGAAGCCCGGCTTCAGGAAAGACCTGCTCACCCTCCAAGCCCCCAGGGGAGCCCGGGCACGGCAAGGGGGGGTTCAGCGCTCTGGGGGGAGGGGCCGCTTTTATGGAACTGGAAATGGGGATCGGCAGTGGACGCCACAGCCAGTCCAGGCTCTCTGTCTCCCATCCCTGTGGATGGCGACTTGGCCTCGGGCCCTCCCACACTGGATTTTCTGATCCTTAAGCCTCAGCAAGCAAAACCACCCAACTCTAGGGTTGCAGGTGGGGACCACAGTGCTAGAGCCAGGTCGGGAGCCAGGGCCTCACCTGACCCCTCGGTGGGACCCGACTGCCGGCCACAGAGGCCGGGAAGCAGTGGCCTGCCCTGCCCACCCCACCCCCACCGCCAGCAGGCTCCAGGCGGGCACCCCTCACCTCCATAAACAAACACCCAGGGACACAGGCTACCCACAGCCCTACAATAAACAGAATCACCCCCAGCCACAGACACACCCGTCCGGACCTGCAAGGGCCAAGGCCGGCCCCAGGCTTCTCCCCTGGCTCTGAAGCCAAGGCTTTGGTCGGCACCGGCTCTGGGCCCTGGTGTCTCCACCTCTGAAATGGCGGAGGCCAGAAGAGAGAGAGACAGACGCGGACAGAGACAGGGTGGAGAGGGTTCTCTGGTGTGTTTTTACCTGGGTCTCTGTCTCCCAGGTATGAGAACGCGCCCTTCCTACAAGTCTGCTCACCAGCCTGCCGGCCTGCCTGCCTGCCTGCCTGCCTCCTTCCTTCCCCAAGGCCCAGGAAGGGCCGTCCCTTGGCCCTGGGGTCCCACACAGTAGCAGCGTGCCGGGGGGCGGCGGGGCTCAGGTGCCCGCAGGTGCCAGGGCACAAGGCCCACGCCCAGCAGCGGGGACCCCCCACCCCCAGGAGCATGGCCTCTGGGTCTCACCCCCTCTCCACCCCCCATCGAGGAAGGCCGAGACAGATTCTGTCTAAAGGAGATCGCGGCTCAACAGGTAAGGACTCGGCTGGGTTCAGGAATGTGGAAATACGACTCGGAGCAGCTACCGCAGCGAGCCGGGAGCGCGGCGCGCCCGGAGCCCGCCCGCCCGCCCGCCGGGCTGCGCGAGGGGGAGCGGGCCGCGAGGGGGCCGGGCCCAGGGCCCCGGGCGGGCGGGGCGCGGGCTCCGGACGCAGCCCGAGGCAGCCCGGCCGGCCCCGCGGCCCATCCCGAGCCAGCCCGACGAGTTGTCAAGGTAATTTCAACACGTCCGGGTGATGGATAGAGACGCGGGGCTGCGGCGGGTGCCCGGCCTACGCGCTCGCAGGGGGCGCGCGCCCCCCGCCCGGCCCGGCCCCGGCCGCCCGAGCCCCCCCACACCCGTCCGCCCCGGCGCGCCCTCCCGGCGGCGAGCGCTCGGCCCCCGGGCTCGGCGCCCATCGCGGCCCGGGGGAGGGAAGGCGCGTCCCACCCCCGAGGCCTGGAACCCGAGCGGGTGAAAGTACGCGCCGGGCACGCTCGCCGCTACCCGCCGGCCCGCGGCGGCTGCCCGCGCGCCCCGCGCCCGGGGGCTCCGGCCGGGCTGCAGGGGGAGGGAAGGGCGGGCCGGGCCCGAAGGCCAGCCCCGGAGCCCCTCCGACGGCCCGGACCCCGAGGGACCCCACGGAGGGGATACTCACCCCAGCTTCACGTAGAGGACGCCAAAGCAGAGAAACACGTAGAAAATCCACTTGCGAAAGTTTCTGTGCATGATCCAGGGAGGGGGGGCTGCGCCATAGACAGCTGCGGCCGAAGGGGTGTGCGGGCCGGGCGGGGGCCGGGGCTGCGGGCGGGGCGCGCTCAGCCGGCGCGGCGGCTCGGCCCGGGGGGCGGCGGCTCGGCCCGGGGGGCTGCGCGGGCCGGGCGGGGGCCGGGCGGGGCCGGGGCCGCGGGCGGGGCGCGCTCAGCCGGCGCTGCGGCTCGGCCCGAGGGCGACGCGCGGGCACTCGGCGCGCGTGGCCACCATGGTGAGCCCGGGGCGCCGCGCGCGCCCCGGGGAGGGAGTGACCCGGGCCGGGGGCGGGGGGCCGCGAGCCCGGAGCCCCGCTGAGAGACCGTGGGGCCCCCGCGAGCGAGCGCGGGCCGGGACCGGGCGCGGCGGGCGGGCGCTGCCTCCACGGGCTCGGCGCCTGGGGGCCGTGCGCGCCTCGCCGTGCGCGGCGGCGGCGGCGGCGGCCAATGTGTCCGCACTTGTCGGCCTTCCCAGGTGACTCGCAGCCCGGGCGAGCGAGCCGCGAGCGAGCGAGCGAGCTAGAGAGAGAGCGAGCGCGCCCCAGGTAGGAGGACCCGCCTCCCGCCCGCCCTCCCCGCCCGCCGCGCGCGCTCTCCCTCCCTCCCTCCCTCCCTCGCTCCCTCCCCTTTCCCCTCCCTCCCCCGTGACACACGAACGCATCTACCCCCGGCCCCCCTCCCCAGGCCCGCTCCCTGCCCTCCGATCGCGCTCGGGCGGGCGGGCGGGGAGGCGCGGCGGGGAAGGGACACCTGCGCCCCTGCGCCCGCGGGGCTGGGGGGACAGGGGCCGCACGTTCTGGGGGCCGCGGGCCTTCCAGGGCCGAGTGGGAGAGGGCGGGACCACGCACCCCATCGCCCCGTCCCGGCGCGCCCCTCCGCCCCCCGAATCCCCCACGCGGCGCCCCCGGACCGCGCCCTCCGCCACCCGAGACCCACGCCCGCCCCACGCGGGCCGGAGGGGGCGCGACGGCGCGGAGGCCCTCGCAAGGTCGGGCCCGCGGCCCCCGCGCCCGCTCGGTGGGCGCCGCTCTCCGGCCGGCGCGGCGCGGGCCAGGGCGCCGGCTGCCGACGCCCTTGCGCGGGGCGCGTTTGGAGAGTGCGGCGGCCGGCAGGAGGAAGCAGGTGTGCGGAGAGGCCCGGCCGCCCGCCCCGCCCCGCCGGGACCCCGCGCCCCAAGCCACCGCCCCGCCCCTCGGCCCCGCGGGACCCCGGCCCCGCCACCCCCTTAATCCCGTCAAATCCTCTGAACCTTGGCCTCGACCTCGGCCCCGGGTCGGGCGCGGCGGGCGGGAGGCCTTTGCGGGCAATCGACCTTGGGGGTGGGGTCGGGGAAACTGAGGCACGGAGGGACGCGGAGCGGCCGCCCCACCCCGGCGCCCCCTGGGCCGCGCGCCCCGGGTGCCGCTCAGCGACCCCCGCGCGGGAGCGGCGGCGGCGGCGGGCGCGGGGCCGGGCGGGCGGATGCTGCCACCGCGCGGACACCGGGCGGCCGGGGCGCCGCTCCGCCACTCACGGGTCCGGGCTCAGCCAGGGAGGGGGCGCGTCCCCCAGCTTCCACGGGGTCTCGGGGACCCCCACGCCCGCCCTGTGCACCCCGCTTCGCAGGGCCCGAGGTCGAGGGGCGGCCCCTGGAGGCGAGGGCGCCGGGGCTCCGGGGTGCGGGTGGATGCGGTGCGCCGCCTCCCGGTGCCTCGGTTTCCCCGGAGCTCCGGAGCGGCGCCCGCAGGGAGGGCGGCTGCGCGGCGTCCTGCTGCCCCCTGCCGGCCGCGGGGCGCAGGCGCCGCCGCGGGAAAGGCGGCCCCGAACCTCAATCGCACCCACAGGTTGGGGGTGGGGTCTAGTTTCCAAGGTTGGGGGAGAGATGTGAAGGGAACAGCGCGTGTCCGTGCGCGCAGGCGCAGTGGTGCGGCGCTGCTGGGGGAGGGGCTGCCCCCCCCACGATCCCAGATGCAGCTGCCCAGGCCTGGCCCTGTCACCCTAGATCCCCACCCACCGTTTGTGGGGATTGAGGGGGTGCTTCTGCCAGAAGGCCGGCTCTCCTTGAAGTTAAGGGTCAGTCTGAAGACTGGGCCAGAGGACAAAAGTCTCCAGGGTCTGGAGACCCCCCCAGGGGCCCACGGGGGTCTTTGTCACCCGTGGGCTCGGTGGGGCTTGGCCTGCATGGCCTCAGGCAAGGCTCTGGTCTTCTCAGGCTGCAGTCACCGAAGCCATCCCCCAAGCCCCGGTCATGGCCACGGGAGTGCCCGCACCTCCAGCCTCCTGACACCCCGCAGCGCCTGCCCCCCACTGCCCCCGGGCGGTCACCTGTGCCGACCTTACAGAGAATGCGGCTCAGCAGGAACGGTCAGAGAAGGCCTCCCTCTGCCCCAGTTCCAGGGGAGATGTGAGGCGAGGTGCCTGTCTGTGGTGTGTCCTGAGCAGGACAGCTGCCCCCCCCCCCAGCTCCCTGGAGCCTCTTCCTTCTCTGGACAACAGGGAGTCAGGACTCTGTTCTCTGCCTCTTCATGCTCTGCCTTCTTGGATGTAGACTGCTTCCTGGAGAAGGCAGCCAGCTGAGCCGCTCTGGGAGAGTGTCACCCTTGGAAGGCTGTCACTTGTCTGGAGTCAAAGGTGGGAGGAGAGGCAGAGCTCTGAACACCCACCCAAGGGTCCTGGGTGTCTCCAGACCAGGAGCTCCAAGTCCAACCTCATGACTGGCTCATCCCCAGGTCCCAGCGTCTAGAGCAGTGCCAAGGGACTATGGGAGGGAAAAGTGGGTGAATTTATGGATTAAGAATGAATAGATATGTGGATGCATACATGCATGGATGGGTGGCTGGGTGAGTGGATGGATGGATGGGTGAATGGATGGATGGGTGGATGGATGACTGATGGGAAGATGGATTGGTGGGTGGGTGGATGGATGGATGGATGATGGGAAGCAGATGGATGGATGGATTTGTTGTAAGAGGAGACAAGAAGCTCTAGGTATCCTCCTGGACATTCCCAGCTTCAAGCACTGAGAACCCCCGCAGTCTTGGGCAACAGAATAATTGGTTACCCCAGCTCTAGCATTATAGAATCTGGACTTCCCTGGGGATCAATGGCTCCTCTAGCACCTGGAAAAGACACTCTGAGGACAGTCCACTGTGACATGAGGACCGTCCAGATGTGATGTGAGGACCGTCCACTGTGACATGAGGACCGTCCAGATGTGATGTGAGGACCGTCCACTGTGACGTGAGGACCGTCCACTGTGACGTGAGGACCGTCCACTGTGACGTGAGGACCGTCCAGATGTGACGTGAGGACCGTCCACTGTGACGTGAGGACCGTCCACTGTGACGTGAGGACCGTCCAGATGTGACGTGAGGACCATCCACTGTGACGTGAGGACCGTCCAGATGTGACGTGAGGACCGTCCACTGTGACGTGAGGACCGTCCACTGTGACGTGAGGACCGTCCACTGTGACGTGAGGACCGTCCACTGTGACGTGAGGACCGTCCAGATGTGATGTGAGGACCGTCCACTGTGACGTGAGGACCGTCCACTGTGACGTGAGGACCGTCCACTGTGACGTGAGGACCGTCCAGATGTGACGTGAGGACCGTCCACTGTGACGTGAGGACCGTCCACTGTGACGTGAGGACCGTCCAGATGTGACGTGAGGACCGTCCAGATGTGACGTGAGGACCGTCCACTGTGACGTGAGGACAGTCCACTGTGACGTGAGGACCGTCCACTGTGACGTGAGGACCGTCCAGATGTGACGTGAGGACCGTCCAGATGTGACGTGAGGACCGTCCACTGTGACGTGAGGACCGTCCACTGTGACGTGAGGACCGTCCAGATGTGACGTGAGGACCGTCCACCCACTGTGACGTGAGGACCGTCCACTGTGACGTGAGGACCGTCCACCCACTGTAATGTGAGGACCGTCCACCCACTGTAATGTGAGGACCGTCCACTGTGACGTGAGGACCGTCCACTGTGACGTGAGGACCGTCCACTGTGACGTGAGGACCGTCCACTGTGATGTGAGGACCGTCCACTGTGATGTGAGGACCGTCCACTGTGACGTGAGGACCGTCCACTGTGATGTGAAGACCGTCCAGATGTGATGTGAGGACCATCCAGATCTGATGTGAGGACCGTCCAGATGTGACGTGTCAGGTGCAGGAATTAAATTTTCTAGAATAACTTCACTCTTGCCTATGGGGCATGGTCAGGTACTATGTGGGCAGGTACTGTGTGGGCAGGTACTGAGTGGACAGGTACTGTGTGGACAGGTACTGTATGGGCAGGTACTGTGTGGGCAGGTACTGTATGGGGGAAGGTACTGTGTGTGGACAGGTACTGTGTGTGTGCAGGTACTGTGTGTGGACAGGTACTGTGTGTGGGCAGGTACTGTGTGTGGACAGGTACTGTGTGTGGACAAGTACTGTGTGTGGACAGGTACTGTGTGTGGACAAGTACTGTGTGGGGCAGGTACTGTGTGGGGGCAGGTACTGTGTGGGGGCACCTACTGTGTGTGGACAGGTACTGTGTGTGGACAGGTACTATGTGTGGAGAGGTACTGTGTGTAGGCAGGTACTGTGTAGACAGGTACTGTGTGTGGGCAGGTACTGTGTGGTCAGGTACTGTGTGGACTGGTACTGTGTGTGGACAGGTACTGTGTGGACACATACTGTGTGTGCAGGTACTATATGGCCAGGTACTGTGTATGGACAGGTACTGTGTGTGGACAGGTACTGTGTGTGGACAGGTACTGTGTGTGGACAAGTACTGTGTGGGGCAGGTACTGTGTGGGGGCAGGTACTGTGTGTGGACAGGTACTGTGTGTGGGCAGGTACAGTGTGTGGACAGGTACTGTGTGTGTGGGCAGGTACTGTGTATGGACAGGTACTGTGTGCAGGTACTGTGTGTGGACAGGTACTGTGTGGACACATACTGTGTGTGCAGGTACTATATGGCCAGGTACTGTGTGTGGACAGGTACTGTGTGTGGACAGGTACTGTGTGTGGACAAGTACTGTGTGGGGCAGGTACTGTGTGGGGGCAGGTACTGTGTGTGGACAGGTACTGTGTGTGGGCAGGTACAGTGTGTGGACAGGTACTGTGTGTGTGGACAGGTACTGTGTGTGGACAGGTACTGTGTGTGGACAGGTACTATGTGTGTGGGCAGGTACTGTGTATGGACAGGTACTGTGTGTGCAGGTACTGTGTGTGGACAGGTACTGTGTGTGGACAGGTACTGTGTGTGGGCAGGTACTGTGTGTGCAGGTACTGTGTGTGTGGACAGGTACTGTGTGTAGACAGGTACTGTGTGGACAGGTACTGTGTGTGTGGGCAGGTACTGTGTGGGCAGGTACTGTGTGTGGACAGGTACTGTATGTGGACAGGTACTCTGTGTGGACAGGTACTCTGTGTGTGCAGGTACTGTGTGTGGGCAGGTACTGTGTGTGTGCAGGTACTGTGTGTGGACAGGTACTGTATGTGGGCAGGTACGGTGTGTGGACAGGTACTGTGTGTGTGGACAGGTACTGTGTGTGGACAGGTACTGTGTGTGGACAGGTACTATGTGTGTGGGCAGGTACTGTGTGTGGACAGGTACTGTGTGTGCAGGTACTGTGTGTGGACAGGTACTGTGTGTGGGCAGGTACTGTGTGTGCAGGTACTGTGTGTGTGGACAGGTACTGTGTGTGGACAGGTACTGTGTGGACAGGTACTGTGTGTGTGCAGGTACTGTGTGTGTGCAGGTACTGTGTGTGGACAGGTACTGTGTGGGCAGGTACTGTGTGTGGACAGGTACTGTATGTGGACAGGTACTCTGTGTGGACAGGTACTCTGTGTGTGCAGGTACTGTGTGTGGGCAGGTACTGTGTGGACAGGTACTGTGTGTGTGCAGGTACTGTGTGTGGACAGGTACAGTGTGTGGGCAGGTACGGTGTGTGGACAGGTACTGTGTGTGTGGACAGGTACTGTGTGTGGACAGGTACTGTGTGTGAAGGTACTATGTGTGTGGACAGGTACTGTGTGTGGACAGGTACTGTGTGGACAGGTACTGTGTGTGTGCAGGTACTGTGTGTGTGCAGGTACTGTGTGTGGACAGGTACTGTGTGTGTGCAGGTACGGTGTGTGGGCAGGTACGGTGTGTGGACAGGTATTGTGTGTGTGGACAGGTACTGTGTGTGTGCAGGTACTGTGTGTGGACAGGTACTATGTGTGTGGACAGGTACTGTGTGTGTGCAGGTACTATGTGTGTGGACAGGTACTGTGTGTGGACAGGTACTGTGTGGACAGGTACTGTGTGTGTGCAGGTACGGTGTGTGTGCAGGTACTGTGTGTGTGCAGGTACTGTGTGTGTGCAGGTACTGTGTGTGGACAGGTACTGTGTGTGTGCAGGTATGGTGTGTGGGCAGGTACGGTGTGTGGACAGGTACTGTGTGTGTGGACAGGTACTGTGTGTGTGCAGGTACTGTGTGTGGACAGGTACTATGTGTGTGGACAGGTACTGTGTGTGTGCAGGTACTATGTGTGTGGACAGGTACTGTGTGTGGACAGGTACTGTGTGTGTGCAGGTACTGTGTGTGTGCAGGTACTGTGTGTGGACAGGTACTGTGTGTGGACAGGTACTGTGTGTGCAGGTACTGTGTGGGGGCAGGTACTGTGTGTGTGCAGGTACAGTGTGTGGACAGGTACTGTGTGGACAGGTACTGTGTGTGTGCAGGTACTGTGTGTGCAGGTACTGTGTGTGGACAGGTACTGTGTGCAGGTACTGTGTGTGTGCAGGTACTGTGTGTGCAGGTACTGTGTGTGGACAGGTACTGTGTGTGGACAGGTACTGTGTGGACAGGTACTATGTGTGTGCAGGTACTGTGTGTGTGCAGATACTGTGTGTGGACAGGTACTGTGTGTGTGCAGGTACTGTGTGTGGACAGGTACTGTGTGTGGACAGGTACTGTGTGTGTGCAGGTACTGTGTGTGTGCAGGTACTGTGTGTGGACAGGTACTGTGTGTGGACAGGTACTGAGTGGACAGGTACTATGTGTGTGCAGGTACTGTGTGTGTGTGTGCAGGTACTGTGTGTGGACAGGTACTGTGTGTGGACAGGTACTGTGTGGACAGGTACTGTGTGTGCAGGTACTGTGTGTGGACAGGTACTGTGTGTGTGCAGGTACTGTGTGTGCACAGGTACTGTGTGTGTGCAGGTACTGTGTGTGGACAGGTACTGTGTGTGGACAGGTACTGTGTGTGTGCAGGTACTGTGTGTGGACAGGTACTGTGTGTGTGCAGGTACTGTGTGTGGACAGGTACTGTGTGTGCAGGTACTGTGTGTGGACAGGTACTGTGTGTGTGCAGGTACTGTGTGTGTGCAGGTACTGTGTGTGTGGACAGGTACT